TGATTAGGACAAAAACATATAATGTTTATATATAAGCTGCCTTGTAAGAAGGCTAAATTAATGTAATAAAGGCTGTGTTGCATATAGAATTTAGTTTTGTGTAGTAAAACAGTGAGTTTGTTAAATGATTAAATGACTTGAGTTTCCCAGTTTTTGGAATGCATTTTCACATCTACAAATGATACAGTAGTTAATCTGAGGTTTAAAAAGTATGAAGTGCACTGCTTCTAAAACATTGTATTCAGGTTCTAGGAAAAATAAAGATGACATACTGAAAGTTGGATGTTTGTCACTTGAACCCCACTTAACCCAAGAACTATGGTGGCAGTTAACAATTAGAATCCTGAATTTGGGAAAGGTACTAGACCAAATAATGCCACAGAATGGGCTGTGAGCCATATGCCCAAACCAAACTCTGCAGCTGAATTTGACTCACAGTGGCCCGCCCTTGGGTTTTAATCTAGTAATTTAGTCATGTTAATGGAACAATGGGGAAATTAAGAGCTTGAAAAATGGCATTTTGCTAATTTGGACCAAAAACAATTAAGGAAACAGTGAATAGGCTGACTGGGGTAATTGTTAGTAAACTAAGTTACTGTGTTTTTGATGCTGAAAAGATACATTGGAAATTTTTATGGGAATACTGTATATCAGTATTTGAGAGGATGGGTTATTTGATTATAAATTGTAATCCAGCTTAGTTTAGCAGAGTTGTATAAAACATCTTACTCTGCAAGCCAATCTAAACTGAATGAAAACTCAGTGCATTCTGACTCAGCAACCCCTTTTGGGTTTGAACCACTAGCCTTCTGGTTAGCAGTTAAATGCTTTAGGCACAATGCCACCAGAGCTCCTTAAACTCATAATGGAGACCCCTTTTGGGCTTCTGAGGTGGTGAATCTGGAAGTAGATTGCCCTGTTTCCTTCCACAGAGAGCCTGGTGCGTTTGAACCACCAACCATCTGGGATCTAAATGAAATGGAATTTTGGAAAGCTTTGTAACAAATGACACTATTCATGTTTTCATCTAAGTAAAGGTAACCCCGGAAGGTACAAGAGCCATACAAAAGCAAAACGCTGCCATCGAATCCACTCTGATTTATAATGACCCCTCCTCTTGAGACCATAACTATATGGAAGTAGATTGCCCAGTCTTCCTTCTGAAGGAAGGTTTGCAGTCAAATGCCTTAGGCTCTACACCACCAGAGCTCCTACAACGATAGGTCAAATTAAGGAAGCCATGTACTTAAGGATAAAATTTAACGAAGGTAACAAACTTTTTAGAAGAGTGACCATAAACTAGAAAGACATCTCCAACTCCCCATGAGCAAGTTAGTGTACTGTGTTAACCTAGTTGGCCCTTGACTCACAGTGACTCCATGCACAATGGAAGCTGCCCGGTCATGCATCATCCCCATGACTGAGGGAAAGTAAAGGCCCTAAATAGCTGGCCAATAAATGGTAGCTAAGTGCCTAAGGCATTTGATTGCTAACCTGAAGGCTGGCAGTTCAAACACACCAGCCACTCCTCAGAAGGAAGGGTGGGCAATCTACTTCCATAGTGATACTGGCTGGGAAACCCAAGGAGGGGTTGCTATCAGTCGGGTTCGACTTGACAGCAGTGTTTGGTTGGCTGGTTGGTAGTATTGCCTGGGACACAGCTATAAGATTTACAAGAACTGTATTAACCTACCCCCCAAAGAAGATCTAATGAATTGCTACAAGCAATGAAAGAGAAGGAAATGGAGAACCAGAGGTGCCTAAAGGTTTAGTTCAGTTTCATGTTACTTCCTTTAAAGAACTGGATGTGCCAACTTAACACAAAGACAGTTGTCTAATTTGAGTGCCACCTACTGGTAGTTCAAAATAATAGATGAGTTTCTAAATTTGTGAGTAAAATAACATTTTTGTCTCTACTAATATTTGAATTTTCTTTATTATTGATCATGCTTGTGTTGTTTCTGAATTGATTAAAAGCAAAATATTTTGAAGTTTATTTTAAAAGTAAATACTAGACTATTTCAGTTGTCATATAACTATTGCTAGAGGAGCTCTGGTAGCATAGTGCCTAAGGCATTTGACTGCTAACCAGAAGGCTGCAGTTCAAACCCACCAGCCACTCGGAAGGAAGGTTGGGCAATCTACTTCCATAGTGATACTGCCTCAGAAACTCAAGGAGGGGTCGCTGTGAGTTGGGTCTGACTCACGGCACATAACAACAACAACTATTGCTTGGTTGGCCAGCTGTTACCCATATGAGATGATTGTAAAGAAGCTCTCACCTTCCTGAAGGATTTTCTTTTCTGATTGGGTTTTGCTTTTCATAACCTTTACTGTTCTTTTTCACTTCCATACCCATAGATTCATTCTTATCCAGCATTGCCTCGGTGGCATTCAACACCTCCATTATTTGACTGTCTCTGGAAACTTCCCTATCCAGTTAAGAATTGAAACTTAACTATTATAAACAATGCCTGCTCATCTATTGACTTGGAATAGGAAA